AACCTCTGCAAGAGATGGTGGCCTCAAGACTATCATGTTCCAGATGTGAATGTAGAGTGTACAAACCCACGGAGACATGAATGACGCATATCTTTGCACATGAGTCAGAATCGTGGGTGGTTTTGGCAGGCACGGGTTTAAACAAAGACCCCAGCTTAGTTCTTCTCAGGCTTTCGATATTAATCGCCCTTTCACGCTCTTCGACATCCAACCCAACCAGAATCCACAGATTGGATTGCAGTTCCGTAAGAAAAAGAAGCCCAGAAGATCGTATACGGTGCGTTTCACCTTTCACCGCACCTTTGCATCGGTCGCCCTTCTTATGCGCGAGCCCTTCTCCTGGGAGCTCCCTTATTGGTAGTGCATTTGTGGTTCAGATCTCTCTAACGCGCTTAGACAATTCCTTAGGCGCGTTTGATTGAGAATCGCTTTGATGGCAGGTGGTGTTTTCCCCATGATGTCAGATGACCTGCGGTGTTCATGGTTTGCATTTCTGAGCGTTTGGATTAATGGATTGATAATGCTATATGTAGCGCCCTTACATCAAGGTTGGCTCAGTGAAATTTGGTGGCTGATGTTCTGTGCAGGGCACCCCCCTTGGCAATATGCTTATGATTGGCGCAGCGGGATATGTTGGTCTGATGCTTGCACCTGGAGTGGCTGATCTTGTTGGGCATATTGGAGGCAATGGAATAGACGCGCTTACGGATTTAGGAGGTGGTCTGGGTGATATGTTCGGTGGTCTGGGTGATATGTTTGGTTGATACGTTTTCGACATTCTCGATGCCATTCATCGCCACGGAATAATTGAGAAAAGAAACGGAAAGGGTGTAGGGTATGGTGTAGGGTATTGATCGTCACAATCATGATAGTAGGATGCAATGACTCCCAGCTGTCCACATGACGGTGTGCGCACAGTGACTCAATAAAGTTGATTGGCCACCCGATAAATATGATCGATTTAGTATCTTTGTGATTATAAGGAGTTATCAAATAAACCTTGGAAATCTTTGCGTGAAACGTGAGTGGTTTGTTATCGATGAGTGTGGGTTACTGCGAATAACATGTTGGGAACAAAAAGTCAATAACCAGCATCGTCAAAACGGAGAATGGATTTTTTAGGGGGAATAACCGTGACCTTACACCAATTTGTGCGAGCTCAGCAAACGGAAACTGTCCAAGACGGGGACTCGACGACCAAAGATAAACCGGACATTTTGAAGAAAATACGGAGCAACGAATCAAAGGCAAATCCGCTACTATGATCAAAACGGAAAGTGGAAAAATCGGGAGCAGCCCGCAGCGCTGCCGGCCATAGAACAGTCGCCACAGTAGTAATAAAGGTTTTGAAAATGAACCAGCCAAGATGCTCGTATTTGAAAAATACAGTCGAGTGCGCAAAAGTCTGCAACTCGTGGTGACACAGAGATGTAGCATACACTGACTATCGTTTCACGCGCCGTCATTCTATAGATGCATTTGTACACTACTGGTCCGGCAAGGGGTGTGTGGTATAGGTATGCATTCTGTATATCATACAGGCATCATTTATTGTATGGCATTTCCAATTCTCACTGACATACGGAAGTCTCCCAAAAGAAGTATAGCTTTAATGAGAGAACTCACGATTGCGTGCAATAAAGCACAAGGGTGTAACACGGCTGACTTTTCCTTTTGACCGTTTTAGTATGTGTACACGTGGCATTTTTTTGTGACACACGGACCTTTTGCCCACTCACGGCGGCGTTAGCGGTCAACGGATAAGTTTAGCGCTCAGTTTTCCTGCAGGACGATTTTTAAGGCATGGGTGTTTTAACTATTATCTTCCATGGTTCGTATGGGAAGCTTGTAGCAACGCGTACTAGTTACAACTCCTCTAGTGTGCGTTGTTTGCAGACACCAATACGAAACATCACACGCATACCTTATTCGTTAGGTTGGGTTTGATCTTCTTCAAACCGAAAGCATCTTTGCAACTCTTAAGATGCGAAAATGCTTGACCGCAAGGCTTGTGAGCCAAAGAAATTAATCATATTCACCTTCATATATTTTGGTACTAAGTTTGATAAGGTAGGTCATCTGCAGGGAAGGCCTTTGCTGACTTTATTTTGTTTCGATCAAGTTAGGGTTTGGGTTCGCCCATCAAAATCCGAGTACCGCTCGAAACCTTCGGATGTCAAGGATACTTATCCACAGGCCTTGTGCTTCCAATGATAACTTTACCATAGATACAATATGTGTGTTTCACGCTGTGAATCGCTTCGTGTATGGCCTTGTATGCCCTGCCGCGCCGGGACACGCGTCGTGAGTATCATAGCATTCACTCTGGCGTATTACCACCACTCATTGTGACACGCGTTGTGAGTATCCAGGTCTGATGTAACTACCGGATGCCTCTGTTGCTTGGTACAAATTGCACACTCGCGTTAATCCATTGTTTTGCTTTCTTGTTCACAATTCGTTTTCGCATAGATTTGAGTGCATCGAAACTCAATGCAACTAGAACAGGTGGGTACCGCACAAAGTACTGTGAAATTTTTGACAGATTTAATTACAATTCCCCACCTTAAAACTCGAAGACGACGGTACCCAAGAAAGCGAATGAAACGTACGGAGTGCGATCAACATATTTCATTATCAAAATTCAGACCGTTAGATCACGCTTATTTTTTTTCTGTTCACTGTTCAACTTTCTGAAACAGCAACTTTTGCCCCGTTAGGTTTAAAAAAACTGCATTACTGAGTGACGTTTTAACGCAGATTCTCACGATATAACACATTAAATTGCACTTGTTACCGTCATATGATGCTATTCAATCCAATAGTATGAAGCATCCCGAAAGATTTGCTCTCTACGTCGGGATGATCATTTTGCGGGGAGCGGAGAGCATTTCGACTCAAGTGACGCTTCCGACGATGTCACATCGGAAGCGGACGCGCCCACGCATATGCTTGCTTCTAAGAGGGCATATGTGTGAGTAGGCAAAGAGTTCCATGGCAGAGCATGCTATGAGCGAAATTTGTTCCATGCGCTTGTTCGAATCTTGCGGAAGGTTGCGGGATCGCAACATCCCGCAAGCGCTACGAACAAGCGCGTGCGACTCCACGCGAGGTGGCTCCCAAAGACAAAGCCTATGCGTCTACGTCTATGTGTGAAGATCCGGTCCGTTGGTGGGTAGACAGAAAGCACAAGCTTCCAAACATGTTTATAGAATGGCTAGGCGGCTTTCATAGCATCCCCTGCAAGTACTGGTGGGGTTAAGTGCATATTCAGTGCGTGTGGCCAGATGCACTCAGACTTGAGAAAGAGAGTAACTGAGGGGACATCACTCGAACACTCCATGATGGCTTCAATAAACACCAAATAAATGTAATATGTAAGTTGTTCCTGTTCAATCTGTTGTGACTAGTTTGCCTATTACTGTGATCTACTTGTAACCTTTGTTGAGATATCGATATATCGGCCTGATTTTGGGCTGTTATCGTTATGAAAATCGCTTATCGATAGTAGGATTTTTTAACTATTGATCGATAGCTATTTACCTAGTTACTCATATCGATCGATAGCAATGTTACCTAGTTGCGCATATCGGTCGATACTTAAAATTATCAGGTGTTCAGATATCATATATATCGATACCATTTTAACAGTTACTCAAAGTTATCGATGGCCAACAAACCCTTGGGTGAAACAGGAGGGGACACTCACCCCCACCTTATGGGGGGGTGAAAGTCAGTCTTTCCATGACACCACCTCATCCCGAAGGTGTGAGGTGCTGGATGTGACACTCTGTGTGTCACTATCCTATAAATGTACTAGTACTCCGTATAGTACGGGTGTCACAGGTTTAGGTTTTTCGGCTTAAGCCGAGCTTTGGTTATACTATACTCACTTCGATTGTTATCAAGAGTGTAAGCATTCTAACCGTAACCGATATATAGCTGTCACTATATATCCAAGAGGTTATGGTGCAAAGATGGTACCTTCCACTACTTTTGGTAGCATGAGTGGCTAAGCCGCTCCGCTTGGTGGGGCATTGGAGGCCCAATTTGATGTCGTGATGTTTCAGAGTCGGTTGCGGTTGAGGGCTCGCTTCGGGCGGATTGATTTTTGGACTCGCTGCAGCGTGCACCCGCCCGGACTTTTGTACTGTCCGCGTTGGATTTCATTTGACGGGAACTTGATCAATTTTTGTCGTGGACTCCTTGGCCAACGCGTAGTCGACCTTTGCAAATTTACAGTCACGGTTTTCCTTACTTATCCGCTCCGACGCTGCATTCTTCGCCCTCGACTTGTAGCTCTTTTGTATTCTCCGACATCGCCCCTCTATACCCCGACGCTACCACCTATAGGATTTCCATCATGAGTATTTCTTCGCACGCGACGCCTTCCTTGGGGGCACATAATCGCATTCGTTTGGACACCATCTTTTCTCGCGACGTTGGGTCGCGTTACAGGCTCACGCCTAATTCTCTTGGGGCTGCATTGACCGCTCCGGATCGGACTCGCGCTACCGACCGCGGTCTTGAATTCGTCTTGGGACGTCGACATCATCAAGCGAATTTCTCGCGACGCTTTGGGCTCCAAAGACGTCACGTTTCATGGCAACGAGAAGGACCGCGCAACGTGCTCTGAACGTCTATCGTCAATTCCCTGCAGATCGCGTTCGAGCAGAAGGAGCCTGCCAACAACGTCATTTTTTATCTGGCTGGCGCGACCAAGGAGGTCAAGCCATCTACAATGGTATTCTTTTCTCGACCTTGACATCGTTGACCTCACCAAATTCGACGGCACGTCGTTGGGTGGAGGCTTCGGAGAGGGCTTCGCCACGCGATGGCAAGCGTGCGCTCCTCGAAGTCACCATGTTACGGATCGAAATATGACAGACGCCCGCAGTCGCGATGTTGATACGTCATCGTCGATGTCACGATTCATCTTCGATCTGTAATCGTCTGAGCTGTACGAGTACCACTGAAATGCGCGAAGATATCATCGATAGCTTCGCGTAGCTCAGTTAGTTAGAGCGTCGCACTAGATAAGCGAACGTCACGGGTTCAAATACCGTCGTGGAGCATTTTTGAACGAGTGTACTTCGAGTGTTTATCAAATACAAAGTTCTTGTTATTACTTTTCTTGTGGCCAGTCAGGCAAGAATCACCGCTTTAGCAAGTTTTCTTATCTCAATTGCAAGTAAAGCTGAATATTATTCAACAGATTTAGGTTGCACAGAATGTTATATCTCTAAAACAGAATGATGTTCTTGACTTCGAGAGCCATCATCATATACTCCCTCCTCAATTGTTATTCTAGAATCTCTCATTCTATTCTGCACCAATCACAGCTCACTTATGACAGGGCCTACATTCTACTCCTACATTTGCGATCTCTCCCGGCCAATCCTGAAGCGCCACATTGATAATCGGTCTTGACCTTCTTCCGACGGGGCGCCTCCTCAGGGTTACTATCGTCATCAGAACTCTCGTCGGCGGGTTTCGTGGTCAGCTTCTCATCCTCGATGTCCTCGGACTGGTCCGGCCGTCCAGGACCGTGGATGCCCGTCTCGTACTTGTCGGCATCCGTGGGCGTCTCCTCGACAGCCAACTCAGCAGCACCAGCTCCATCCTCCTCGCCATCATGAGCATCAGGATGACTGGTGGGACTGTAACAAGGATACGAGTACTCGCGATGTCACTCGTGGCCTTGGGGGCATCGCTCAGAGCGTCATCCAGGTCGGGTGGGGAATCATCCAGCCCCACCGGGAGCGTGACGCCGTGACCTCCTCGTCCGGCTCCGGCGTCGGCGACCGTGGTCGGCGCCCCGTATACGGGATGCCGCGATACGGCTCGTCAGACGTATGTGCTATATTAGACTTGGAAAAAGTGAACATGTTCACGAATGATGTTCTTGATCCCGTAAGTTTGAGCGCTACTAAAACAGCAGATCATCATGATCCGGGAGATTGGCTGCACCCCAGCGGGAGGTACAAGGCGGAATTTCTTTTACCCTCTATAAATAACTCTTGGACGGAGTCTCACTGTCTATACTTTACAATTGGCGTTGGGTTTGCGTGCACAAGAATCGTAGGGTGTCCCCATGAGGGCTGCGTGGCGAGGCCTGAAAATCAGCAAAACGCTTGGTTTTACAGTCAGGGATGACCTCGATCTGTCAACGATGTCACAGTGGTTGGTGCGGTACCCATAACATGCGTTCCCAGCGAACATTTGTTTTGTATATCCCCAAAATTTGGGGAGCTCTTTATAAAAATAAAAATAAAACATCGCAGCTGAAAATGTGACCGCTCCCGCCCACGATCCTGTGGCCTGCTGTGAGACTGCACGAAGTGAAACATTATTGAAAGAATACACCACTGGGATGCGGTTCGCAAATCAAGGTAAGGTTTGCGCGGAGTCCAAAAATGCAAAACTTTTCAAAAATCGTTTATTTGATAAATAGGTTGCCCAGAGCACCCTGTACATATTGCGCACTTCAGGTATCAAATTGATCACGTTAATGAAAAGTTATTATGGTCGATACCGCTCGGTCACCCCCCATACGTAACCATACTTAAGCGCAAACTTAAATCGCTCGTATCTCAAAATCTAGATTTTGAAAAGTTTTTGCATTTTTGGACTCCGCGCAAACCTTACCTTGAAATATTCTAATGTGTTCAAGCAGCGATCTTGACACATCACATGCAATTTCAAATACAAACTCTGGCGTACCAACCGTAATTGCATGCAATAGCATGCCACAAAAGGCAAGAGTGAATCTCCCAAAACAGGATTCGGTAAACAGAAAACAGATTTACGTGATCGTCAATTCTATCCTCACATGCTACAACATCACACATTTTTAAATTTTGGTTCCGCACACATCTAAATTGCATAAAATCGCTTCCAGGATAATCATAGCCTCCCTCCAACTTTGAAAGGTGCAAACATGCCCAAAGTTTAGGCACCCTTTAAGGAGAAAGGTCTGTCAATCCATAAATGAATACATGCCCTCACTACATACATGCTTTACACGGCGGCACCGGAGGCGGTTTATCTGGAAGTTCTACACCAGCCATGTCAAGGCGCTTCTGCCATTGCATGAACACGCGTTTGGACATGATTTGTGCCCAAAACTCAGCGTGGCAACGCGACAATTGCTTCCAAACCACTCGCCAGTAAGGCCCATAGTCACACACAAACTCTTCGTGTTCTTCGATATCCTTTGTGGCAAAGAACGCCACGAACGGAAGAGAACGAACGCATCCATACTATGATAGGTAGTCACTTCTTCGGAAATGAAAGCGGCAGGAAGACGTTCATCCTCTCAGCATCAACGGCCAACAGCCCAGGACAATGGAGGCAGCAGTCGCATCATCACTAGTGTCGAAGCTTCCCAAGTAGTATGTGGGTGTAGTCATTGAGCTGACCAAGGACCCGATTCCAAGTCTTCAAGTGTTCATACAGCGACATGGATAGCTGTGGATGACTGTACTTTCAAACAAATCAAGAACAATTAATCACCGAAAGAAACCGCAGTAGCAGCACATGGACTACGAGCAGAATGGTAACGTCGACGTGATCTAGACCACTGGAACGAGTCCTGTGACATTACTAGTGTGTTGCATGAGAATGATTAGTGTCTATTCTACTAATTTTTGGGCGGGTTAACAATACCTAAGAGCGATATTCGAGCACTCTAATATCCATAATAATTCGAGATATCGCATAAAACCCATGCTTGGCAATGTTGATTGTAGTAAGTTTTGTGTGTGGAACGACTTTAATTTCTGCTACTTGGATGGGTATACCGGGCTGAAATGGCGTTCAAAGTTAGGGCGGGTTGACCCGAAAATTACGGCGGGTTAACCCCTAACTTCGTTTATTGTTGCTCCGCGTAGGCTACGTGGTGGTCCCAAGGCACTAAGTGACAATACTTGAAGGAAGTTTTATGTTTTGTGACCTTAAGTTTCGATCTAGAGCACTTCCCTATCGGTATAGACCAATCCTCAGCCCAAAATGTCTGGCGTTCTGCCAACTTTTTGGGGGGAATTTTGAAGGTTGATAAACGCCCGTTGTTCCTACTTTTTTGCCGAAGTCGATTACCAATCCTCAGACCAAAGTGTCCGGAGTTCTGCCAACTTTTTTGGGGTAATTTTGAGGGTTGATAAACGCCTGTTGTTCCTATTTTTTGCCCGGAGTCAATTACGCGCGAAATATCGTAGAAATGCCTAGGTATTGGTAACCCGCCGTAACAACGTGTTACGGCGGGTTAACCCGCCTTTCGCAGAATAGACATTAGAGCATACAGCAAAGCAGCGCTGGACTGTTGACAAAAAAAGGTTTGCAATCTATAGTTCTCAGCAGCCTACTAGGGAAAGACGGGCCGTTCTGTGTGACGTGACTGATTTGTCCCAAACAACGCACAGAGTTTGCAGTCGATCTTAAACTTCTTGATGCCCAGGCAGGATGTCAACAGATTCAACACGGAATTCTAGTAGGTGTCAGTATGGCTTTTCAAAGGAACAGCATGGGAGGCGGCGTCGGGAAACGCAGCTGTGAAAACGGAGCATGCCGTGGCCCTGACAGGCTCTGATGCTTGATAGTTTCAAGGTGTGTGGCATGTCCACGAATCAGATGTGCTTTCCAGTGCAGAACGGGACCGTGATGAACAAAGGTGCTGCAGGCCACCTGGGTTCAGGAAGCTGAGGACTTGGCGGCAGCTGCTGGCAACGCGGGACAGTACGGCATGGAAGGAGGTGGACTACGCCCAGGATTGTGTGCTCGTTGACGAGAAAGCAGCCAATAAGCCGTTGCATGGTCTGCCTGCACTTGGACAGGTTGAATTTGGTAGAAACGCGTGCGCTTTACAACATCACACTCATCAGCATGACTGTCAGAAACAGGAAGTCACACTTGTGTGCCTTCGGAAATGCGCAGGGGATGGGGTTGACCACACATTTGTGCAATCTCCTTGCACACAGCTGACACCTCTGCAAATCATGTTGAAGATGAGTCTTTTGATGGGGTTGGAGGTCTCTGCCCTGGACGGGGTTATCCGCTTCATCTGCCCGAAGATAATGGCGGAGATAAGAAAAATGAGGGATAGTGCACGGGACGCTTAAGAGTAGCGTACATATCGGGGCTAAATTAGTTGCGCGTGGTTTACTTCTACAAAAAGTGAAGGTTGCAGTATGCAGTACATATGAGGGTGCCTGTCATTAGCCCTGATTGTTTTACATCCAGGAACTTGGCATCGTTGACAATGATGCCGTCTTCACGGTGGATATGAAGTGCGCAGAGGATTCCTTCATTGCCTTCGATAAAACGCGAAAATATGGAATACTCTAGATGGGGCGATTACCCATAACTCCGAAAAACTGGATACTTACTTGACTATTAGGTCAAGTTGTGTTATATTTTCTTGTGAGAGCATTGGTTGCGAGAGCAAACAATATTTCTGCAATACAAACTCAAAGGTTACAAGACGGTAGATAGATGTTGTGGTATCTTTCTCAATGAATGAGCAAGGTGTGTTCTTGTAAACATCTGGGAGTTTCCCTGAATGAATGGGTACCTTAAAGGACCAGTCATGCCGTAGAAAATACAACCAGCAAATGTAAACAGATAAAACGGCACGCTAGTCCAGTGCGCAGGGTGGGAAGAACTTACTTCATTCCCGCGGGTGTTGAAATTCTCACCTGTTCTCAATGAGAATGCGCGGGAGAATCTCATCATAGGCAGACGAAGATGAAGAAGCAGAAGAAGGGCCTGCTCCTCCTCTGCTGGCTGGCATGCCTTTGCAAAGCATCTCGGTATTGATGGCGTACGCATAGCGATTAGTACCGAACTCTCCTTCGTTCTCCAATTCCGTACTCTCCCAAAGCACTCCTCCGTACACCTCAATCACTTCACCACGCTTGATGACTGTTGCTGACATCAGTGCGAACGCACGTTCGTGAGGTGGACAAAAGTATCGCGCTGGGTGGAACCCGAATAGGACTTCTGCCACATATGTTTTCGATTCGCCCCCCATTAGCAGGTGGTGGACTGCGCTTTGTTGTTGGTCGGATTGCTTTGTTG